ACCTGTAGCCGACCATCCAGCACGTTCAAACTTATGGAAAGGAGCATACTGTTCCTTGACCGAAATAACGACTCTCTCGAGGAAGTCTTCTGCCTTCTGCGTTCAAGTTCGACTTCGCAGATCATTATGGCTTGATTTGTGCGCCCCAAATATCCAAAAGCAAGCCGCTCTTTATCGCGGTATAAACACGCCACGGGGATAAAGCATCAAATCTGGAATCATTGCCAGACTCGCGAAGGAACTCCTTTCAAAATTTCCCTTCCCTTTCCGCAGGAAATCAATCTTTCTCTCGAGACCCATTCAAAAAATTAATGGCACGATATATCACTTCGTAAATAGAACACGATCTTACAATTTTAAGATTATTACCACTCTTATTACATATATATATATATATTAATTTCAATTCTTTTTTTTTTCTTTAACATTACAATTACCAATATATATATACATGATATACAATTAAATTTATAGAGATGAATTCCAAACAATTGCAGACAAAAGAACACCTTTCTATTCTCGAATAGAAGTATTTCAACAAGCACGCACACGCGCAAAAAGAGAAATTACAGGGGAAATAATGGTGCAAACACGTGCAACGAACGAAGAAAAATCCCTAGAGCGGAGCTCGTGCAATAATAATATCGAGAATCGCGTGGCAATAATGCTCTCTACGCGGAAAGGGCGGGAAGGAAGATTTCCCCGATGGCGTTTCCCAACGGTTAAACTCTCCGACGATCCGACGATTCCTCCGCGACGATACGTTACGAAGAATCGTCTCCTCTCGATCCGACGAATATCGATCGATCAACGTCGCTGCCTTCCATAATATCAATGCCGCCTCCCTGGACGATGCGAGAGAAGAAGAAGTCTTCCCAACATCCTCGGTCGATCCGCCAACTTTTCGAAGACGGATCTAGAGGGGGGGGGAAGGAGGAGTATTTCTAGGTTAGGTTAGTCCACTTGTGATGGAGAGGAATAAACGAACAACGCTCGAGTCGATGACAATTTTCTGCTAGGATGGATTCGATCAATCTTACAAGTCGTGTTTTCCTCATTCGTTTCCGAATTCTTTTTAGGTTAGGTCGCATGCATTCGTATGTTGTTGCACGATATTATGCGCAATATTTGCGAAGAAATGGGGGAATTTAAGTGTGTATTAAGATTTGTTGTATTCTCGTATTTGTTCATAATTGTCCGTTCAAATGTTACGGGTAATTGTAAATTGTGGATTTATATAATATCCTCGATCCACGTGTTAATTTCGTTGTTTGTGTATCTTAATTAATTTCTCGTGAATTATTGTTATACAGAAACCGGCTTCTGATTACTGGAAATTTTCAAACAATTTTTCTCGATTATCTTTCAATGCGGATATATCGGAATTTCCAAGACAGCTTCAATTACCATACACGCGATTACACGTTTTTTAAAAGATATAATTGTCGCGCAATTATCGTAATTATTTTTAATTCCCTTGTTTAAATCCTTTCTCATTTCTGCGATAAATTATCGAAAAGATAATCCCTTAACTTGAAAAACACAAAAACAACGTGTTCTCCCCGAGCGAAAATAGATTAAACGATTAAAAAGAAAAGAAAAAAAAGAAATCACGAATCTTCGTGTAATTATCCTGTGTAATTGACGAGTAAACAAACGAACGAACGCTCCATTAAAATCCTGCATATGTCCACGCACGAGCATCAAAAAAACGCAAACTTTGACAAAAAAAAAAAAGAAAGAAAAGAAATATCACGATCGAGAAAGCAATCAACACGATTCGTCAAATAGCGGACAATAAATCCCCCAAAATCATCAATTTCAAACGTGTCCAACGAGCGTACACACGGTCATAAAACCGGCCGACTGTATTTTTACGCCTCGAGAGAGAGAGAGAGGAGGGAGGGGGAGGAAGGAGAAG